AGGGAGGGAGGGAGAGAGGGAGAGAGAGAGGGGGAGAGAGAGAGAGAGAGAGAGAGAAACATCAATGATGAGAGAATCACTGACCAGCTGCCTCCTCCACGTCCCCGACTGGGGATCGAGCCCACAACCTGGGCTTGTGCCCTGACCGGGAATCGAATCCTGATCGCCTGGATCCTAGGTCAATGTTCAACCGCTGAGCCATGACTGGCCGGGCTAAAATATCCTTCTTGTTGTCTTACCAACTTTCGCCAAACCTTTGCTTTTTCTTAATTTTCTTGGCAAAAATCATAGATTCATAAAGTCTTTTAAAAAATACATTCTTGGTTATTAACTTTTCTTCATTAAAAAAAATACATTCCTTTAAAATGAATCCAGAACAATTATTCAGATTATGAGATGCCTCCAACTACCTCTCCAACTTTCTTTCTTATTAGGTAGGATAATTTATTATTGTATTCCCAACTTTTGACTTTTAAAACTTCCCAATCTTCTTGAGGTATTCATTTTTTAATGTCTTTGACATCCAAAAGTTCAGAAAAATAAAACCAGTTTTCCTAAACAAAGTACACATGTCATTATAACTAACACTCCTTTCCTTGGCACTTAGAAACACTAAAGGAGACAGAGTCACACTCTCAAGTTTTATCATTTCAGCTTCACCAATACAGTCATGCAGTGCTTAGTAATGGGGATACATTCTGAAAAATGCATAGTAAGGCACCTTCATCCCAGTGCAAACATCATAAAGTGTACTTACACAAACCTAAATGGTAGAGCCCAGTGCTCCTAGTCTACAAGCCTGTTCAGCATGGTATTGCATATAACAATACAAGATTAAATCAAGAAAAAGAGAAAATGATGTGATCAAGAGACACAGTAAACATGAGACGTATGAAGCTGCCACATAATGTTTCGCGGCAAACATTTTTTTTTGTAAGTACAAAAAACATACAGTCAAATAATGATAAAAAAGTATAGTAAATATATAAACCAGTAACAAATTAATTATTAGCAATTATTATATACTGTACATAACTGAATGTGCTATACTTTTATAGGACTGGCAGTGCAGTACACTTACTTACACCAGCATCACCATAAGCACATGAGAAATGTGCTGCGCTACTCTATGAGGGCTACGACGCAACTAGGTGATAGAAAATTTTCAGCTCCATTATAATCTTATGGGATAAAAACTGTCGTATTTGCAGTCCATTGTTGACAGGAACATTGCATGTAGCATGACTGTAGTTGAAGTAGATAGCTGAGAACCAAGGAAACAAAGAAAGTTCCTTCTTTCCAGTGAGAATTAAGAACACAGCTATATTTCTTGAACTTTAAGAAGTTTTAAAGTTCAACTTAAAGAAATTTTAATGTACTCTGCTTTTAGAAAATGAGAGTTTCAGCTGTATAGGTAGCTGTAATCTCCTATAACTTATCTTGTTTCTGTGTTTATTTTATAATACATTTATCATTATAATACATTTATAGTATAGTAAGAAATAATGATCCATATTCTATTTATACTACTGTAACAATACTACTTCCTACTTTTCCCTTGTACACACAACCAAATGTAGTCCACCCTGCTTCTACTTTCTGTCTAACAGATTTCCATACAGGTGATATTTTGACATATAGAGGTCTTCCTCCATTCTTTCTATTAGATGTTTCTTTTAAATAAGACATACTGGTTTATAGTTACTTTATACTCATCAAGTCTAGGTAATATGTAAAATATTAAACTTGCCTCTCTATTTCATTTTATTATTCCTACCTGTAGCAAGTACACAGATACTATAAGTATTATTCATGATGCTATTATTTTAATCTAAGAATTCTTCTGTACATTCACCTTTAAAAAATCTTATTTCGCTGATGGTCAAATGGATATTAGAGAGACCATATATAATGAAGACTAATATGATCATAAACAAGCAAAAAAGACCCCATCCTATATGATTTGAGAAAGATCATTAGGTTGAATGTTTCTAACACAGGAAGAACATGTCCAAAACAGCCCTTCAAAGAGAACAAAGAAATAACTCAATTTCTTACTATTTTGTGATATAGAAGTAATTTTATGAGCTGTGATGTGATAAAGTTAATGCTGGAGAGAGGACAGTGAACGCCAACTATGAGCAAGCAAAATAATACTGTATAATTTCACTTATATGTGGAATCCAAACAACAAAACAAACAAACAAAACCAAGTAAACTTATAGATAAAGAGAACAACGGATGATTGCCAGAGGGGAGGAAGGTAGGGGCTAGGTGAAAAACAGGAAGGGAAATAAGCAGCACAAGCTTCCAGTTATAAGTCACTGGAATGTAATGCATTGCATAGGCAATATAGTCAACAACATTGTAATAACTATGTACGGTGACAGGTGGTCACTAGACTTATTGCGGTGATCATTTCGTAAGGTATCCAAATGATGCATCTTAGTGTTTCCTATGTAATTCATCTCTCAACTAATTCACAGTATTTTTAAAAATTCAAGCATCAATTTTCAAATTCTCAGTTTTTCCAAGTTTCCTAGATAGCAGGTATAATTGTTAGTTCAAAATCTTAACTACCTGTAGTAAATTACCAAGGCATTTTAGATTTTTCTCTCAAAACCAGGAAGGGAATGATAAAATTTTTCTGTATTATCTTCCTTCAGAAAGAAATAGCAAATGAAAAAAGCTTGATATTAGATATCGCAATGTTATCAGTACTTTTTAAAATATATTATGGTGCTTCAAGTAAATCTGTGTATAAGTAACAAATATCAAATTCAAGGAAATTTTTCCACATGAGGTAACCTTATAAGAGACACAAGTAATATCAGAAGCTCAAATAAGAAGCCTAGAGATTCAGTTAGTACGATGGTTAAAGGTACTGACTCTGAAGCCAGACTGCTCTCAGTGCCTTGTTTTCCTCATCTATAAAAATGAGGAAATACCTCTAATTCCTACCTCTGAGGGTTGATTTAAAATTAAAAAAAATAATTCATATAAATAAAAGGCCTGGCATGTAAACACTATGAAAGTAATTGCTATTATTATTCTAAAATTCGTTTAAAAAATCACCTAGAAGAATTTAGTATATTCTAACCTCAAATAATATAGGGCTGTGTACTAATTATTAACTAAAGTGAGAATATCTCTATTAAAAATTCAAAGAAAAGAGAGGAAAGTAGGTTAAAGTTAATGAAAAGTAGGCCAAGTATCTTTAAAATTCACTGAATTCATTTACTTAAAATAATAGGCTGGTAATATGCCTACATCAATAAAAAACATTTAACTAGCTTTGTTGTAATAGGTATTAAATAGGAAAATAGTCATAAGTATGTATATGCTTATCCTTTGAGTAGATTCTCTAATGTATCAAACCCAAGTAATTCATGAGATTCAACCTCTATCAAACTACACAGTCTTCTATTGAAGATCCTTTCTAATTTTCCACTCAAAAACTGGCAGCCTTTATCAGGCAAAAATATTCTTCTCTCTTTTCCTCATGATGATAACCAAAAGAATCTGCCTCTAACCATCTAGTCACTCAGCCAACATTCAAGAGACACCTTCTGAGCATGTTAGGGCTCTGCACCCTCAAGTAGGAAATGCAGTTCTAAATCCAATGCACCCAACATAATAAACCAAGTGAGAGAGAAATACTAATGTTACAAAGGGCTAGAGAAACAGGAAAATATAATAAAAATATGTTCAGGACTCTTAATAGTTTCAAAGTACCTATCCATTCATTACCTCTTGTAACTATCTCTGAAATAAGCAAGCTGAATAATGTTTTCCAGTTTAAATTCAAGAATATTAAATCACAGAGGCTTCTCTGTAAGATCATTTGTATATTTTGATAAGCAGATTCATAATATTCTCATTTTGACTATACTGTAACCAACTATATTAACAGCCCCCCCCCCCAAAAATATAGGTCATGTGCTCTGTGACTGCCTTCTACTATCCTGTCTTAATCAATCCTTTAACTCCCCACCTTCATAAGCTTTGTGCCTCTCTTCTGTCTTGCCTTATCTATCCTAATGCATATTTCTACCTTATATATATTATATCGTGATTTTCTTATATGCTTATCTTTTTCTACTAGACTAGAGCTAAGTGGAATTACTGTCTTGTCTATCTTTGTATTAATTGTGACTAGTACAGTACTTGTCACAAAGCAAATGCTCAGTAGTCAGTGATTAAATGATTAAATAAATGTATGAAATATTAATTTAAAAAGACGGAAAGGTTCATAAAATGATTCTGAAAAGGCCAAATAAAAAAAAAATCACAGAAGGAAACTCAAAACTTATTTCTAATCTTAAAAGGCACTAATTACTTTTTTCACACCAAAACTAGTATTTTACTTCATGAAAATATATTTGGAAATATGATTATGACACTATACTCAATTATATGAATTTACTTAAAATTTAATTTTTATATCACTTGCTTTCTAGCTTTTATTTTATAGGATCAAACCAAAGACAATTTCAAATGTGCAGTAATTAAAGGAGTTTATACTATTATGCTGTGTTTCCTTAACTCACTTTTCTGTTTTGAAGAATACTGCACAACCGTCCACATGCTTTCTCTCCTGCTCAGACATGATTTTGGCACGTGACTTTGGAGAAAAAAATCCGTCATATCCACGCTCCTTCAATGCTGGCAGAAAGAGAGTGAAGTATTGCTCTGTTTCCACTTCCTGAGATGAAAGAAAAGTTATTGACATGACAGGAAAACTCTGATAAAGATATAAAAATGTTCAGTATTATGAGTGTGATGCGACTGTTAAAACAATTCACATAACAAATACTATCTATCTTACCTTACTGCTAACAGCTGCCATTTGACAATGGCAGCTTTTTAAACCTGAAAGAACCAGATGTTATATGATTTTCTCATGCTCACACAGCTAGTGGGTCCAAAGCCTTTTGACTCCCAATATAGAGTTCATTCCACTATACTTCCCCACTACTGGTAATTAAACAAAGAAAGTTGATCATGTTATATAGATTAAGTTGTAGGGAATAGTAAATTTTATATATAAAAAGGTAATTAAAATTTTTTATCTTTATCAACTGTGGTGGAAAGGAATGACAGCCAAGAGTAAGAAGCTTAAGATCAACATAAAATTCTACTTTAAGGAATTTTTAGGTACCTGAATCCAATGGTCTCTGTTAATTTCGTAATTATTAAGTTAGACTATTTTATTTTTGACCCACAAAGTATTTTTAACAAATCCTTCCAAACAAAAAAAATCAAGATAATGATTTATGTATGATAATGCTCATAACAGAATTTTATAACATGCTGAAATGTCCAACAGTAGGGAAAATGATAAATCAATTAATATATATTCATATAAATAACTGAAGAATTTTAATATAGAAAGTGCATTAAGTTCAATAAACAAGAAACAAAATATGTTAATAGTGTGACATCAACTTTATTTTTAAAATGTATTTGCAAATAAATAAGTGCATTAAAAATGTGTACAAGAAGCACTTCAGAAGTTTTAAAACAGCAACTACCTTTGGGATATGAGATTAGGTGTTTTCTTCCATCATTCTTTATATTTTTTCAAAAATTTTAACTTCTCTAGGATTAATTCTTTATAAGGTAGTATTACTTTTATAAGAATAACGTTTTTTTTTGGTATATAGTTGTATATGATCTATATTTTTAAAATTAGTTCTTATTAACATATTCAGCCATGTCTACTACCCAGAGCAGATTTTAGAATAATGATTTTAATTTTTTAAATTACTGTTTCTAATAATATAACATTTCTTGCTTTAAAAATTTTTTTTCAATTAAATTTATTAGGGTATTAGTAAGAAAATTTTTTTATTATGGCATTTTTATCCTTCAAACTAAACTTTACATAAGAGTGTGAGGCTATTTTTATTACAAATACTAAATCAAAAAGGAGACAAGTAATAATAATAAGCCTGATTTTGTTTGTCCCCTCGTTTCCCCAATTCTGTGTCAGTCTCAGTGTTCAGAAGAAAATTTAATTTTTGAAGATTTTTATTTCTTATTATTTCCCAGGAAGTCATATAAACCATGGACAACATAAAAATAATCAATCCTGGCTGGCATGGCTCAGTGGTTGAGGGTCGACCTATGAACCAGGAGGTCACAGTTCCATTCCAGGTCAGAGCACATGCCCAAGTTTCAGGCTCGATCCCCAGCAGGGGGCATGCAGAAGGCAGCCAATCAATGACTCTCTCATCATAGATGTTTCTATCTCTCCCTCTCCTTTCCTCTCTCTGAAATCAATAAAAATATATTTAAAAAAGAAAATAAAAATAAATTATCAAGCTGTACTATAAAAAAAATTTTAAAAATAATTTCTTCTCAGGCTATGCTGAAAAGGTGTGAAACTATAACACTTAAAATTCTGAAACACCTTTAAAGCATTTAATATGCTTTGAAAGTTGCTAATACAAAAAATTACTAAAATTACCTAAAAGCTTTCTTGGCTATTCATTACATGAGTGTTGAAAAGAAGCAACGAAATGTATATTTCAATGAAAGGTGCTTCTTCAATTAAATTTATTATAAATAAAGTGTTATAAAACAGGAGAATCTAAATTTCAGAGGTGATTTTTAAAATAACGCAAAACTGCATCATCTGTAGTAAAATATTTTTAAGTGTTTAAATGTTTATTGGTAAGGAACAACTGGGCAAGCAATTTTTTTTTAAAAATTAAGAGTTAAATTTATATTCCTAAAAGACATAATCTTCTGCAGTTCTCTTTTTTGGCAATACCAATAATTTGTGGTTAAGATGAATTGTTAACATGAATAATGCGTGAGATAATTTTCACTTAAAAAATAGTAAATGAGCCCTGGCTGGTATTGCTCACTGGTTAGAGTGCCAGCCCTTGGACCAAAGGGTCGAGGGTTCGATTCCCTCTCAAGGGCACGTATCTGGGTTGCAAATTCGATCCCTAGCCCCTGGTCCGGGCGCGTGCCGGAGGCAACCAATGCATCTTTCACATTAATGTTTCTTTCTCTCTTTCTCCCCCTCCTTCCCTCCCTTCCACTCTCTCTTAAAATCAATGGGAAAAATATGCTTGGGTGAGGATTAACAACAACAAAAAAGTAAATGAGTGTAAACGGATGGCTGTACTTAGCGAAATAGTTTCACTGTGGAAATTTCTTACATGCTTATTAAAACTATCCATTTTTTATGAGTAAACAATTCCCTTTGAGTTTTGCTTTGAACACAGGATCTCTCCCAGAAGTAAGATCCTTTATTTTCAAGTTCACCTTTAACTTAAAGACAATTCAATTTCTATTGTGTTACCTGAAGACTAATGATATCTGCGTCACAGTTAACAATTTCTTCCATAATTCCCTTTTTCCTGTATTCCCAGTTTAATGCCCAGGATGGGCAATAGCCATATAGCTGCCGGGTGGCGTATTTATCACATAACACATTGTAACACATAACCGTGAATGATGCTAAGAAGTGGGAGAAAAAAACAACAGACAAAAGGGAGAAAATTAGGCAACTTTTTCTAAAGCAATTATTATGTGCACAAGCACACAGGGCACACAAACATACTCAAAATATTATCACTGTGAAATGCCTTGGGCAAGAATGTATTAAATGGTTATCTACTAAAGCTTCACTGGAGTCCATCACACACCAAAGCAATTTTACTAGAATTAGACTAACAGTTCATATTTGAGATTTTTAGGAACTTTATTTTAATAAATAAAAATTAAAATTTTAAATAAGAATGCTAATTTTTTGCACATAATTTGTTGAGTTAAGCTCCATATAAATGAAACAAAAGTAAATTTTAGTTTTATTCTCATTACAGGCTCTAATTTCATTAATTTTATTTAACAAAATATCCATACTTAATATTTCTGTGGACCTCTTACTGTTCTCACTGCTCTGAGCCAGAAGAATATGGACTAACAAAGTTTAGTTATAAGAGAATTCTTTTTGCCAAGTCAAATGTACACTGGTGAAATTAAATTCTCATTTTGAAATGCCTTTGAACTATAAAAGGACTGTGAACAAACTAATAGTTGGGAGAAGATGGTTTGTATTCTTGCTACTAAAAAGTGTGCTCTCAGGACTGGACATCAGCTATCTTAGAAATGCAGAATCTTTAGCTCCACAAAAACCCACTGAACCAGAACCTGTGATTTAACATAATGCTCAAGTGATTCATATGACATGCACATTAGTTTGAAAAACCCTGATTTTTACCAGTAATTCTCTATCCTAGCTGCCCATTTGAATCAGTCTGTAGAGCTTTAAAACAAACAAACAAAAAGCTACTCCATACAAATGAAGTCTGTATATTAGGGTCTGTGTATTTATATTTATAAAAAGTATCCCAGATGATTAGAATGGGCAGACACAGTTGAGAATCACATATTTAAATAAAAGGTGAGATATCCAAGTAATAAAGCAACACTTTATTTAAGCTGGTTCAGATTCAGATGACAATAAAAGAATTAAGAGAAACTTAGTTCAATGGTCCCTTAGGGATTCTGACTGGTGGCAATTTTGTATACCGGTACCTTTTTTCACTATTTGGTACTTATTCTTAGCTTAATAATTAGAATATTGTGGCTATAAATCATCCTTAACCATCACTAGTTATTATACACATCTCCCTATGCACCAGAAGTAAAAGACGTATCTTTTTTTAGCACTCAGATTCTACTCAGGGAAGCACCATACATCTCAAGAAAAATCCATACTAGTTTTCAATAAGGAAAACCCAAGAACACATTACTCTGAGAGTTCAACAACTAATGAAAACATTTTTCTGTTGTTCCTTTTCTTAATGGAAATGTAGGTATGCAATATTAGAAAAGCTTTTCTTCAAGATTATGTTTACTCATGATCGAAAGGGATTACTTTGAAGAACTAGAAAATGGTGTTTTTAATACCAGAAAGAAACAAATTAATTGCACATTAGGGAAGGCTAAATAAAATAAATCTGCCTAACTTAAGGTTTGTAGAAAACCTTAGGTATTCTTTTTTTCAGACCATCAATGTGTCTCCTGATAATAGAAATGTTATTTGTGATAACATTGACACAGTGCCTCTTAGGACAGGCTGATACTGTGGCTGTAGACTGTAGTGGTTTTAAAATTATTACTTCTGGAAGACAGAAATGTATTGGTATAACAGTATTTCTCAGCATTATTAAAATGCAAATAGGACCATGACAATATTATACTGCCCACATTTCCCAATACCAAAGCAAATGATTTTTTCTGAATCCTCTTATTTCATAACTTAAAAAAACCTCACAAACAGAAGGGTTTAAAATGTATACAATAAACTGTGATTTCCCCTTTAAAAATTATTAAAGTATCAGTATTCAGTGATTGGTTTAATCTTCATATTAAAACAGTAAAATTTTTACTTGTTAATTTTATAATGAAATGAGATACCATGAAAATTACTACTCCTGTGATTAAAAAGAAGCCATCTGGAGAAATACCAATTCATAACAACTTATTAAAACTTATTTTAAGTAGCCCAATCATAAAATGTCTAATAAGCAGTAAAAAGCCCTATAAATGATGTCAAATCAGTATTGGTCTCCACAAAGAGATGAAGGTTTATATTTCCTAAATTACTACAGTACTAGAAGTGCTAAACCATATCCTTAAATTGCTCAAATGCTAACCCTGTACCATTTCTATACAACAGGCCTGGTATCATATTTTGTTTCCAATATAGCAAATACAGACTCAGTCTAAATTATTCTTTCAAAAGTGTTATCAGTCTACCTGCTCAAGAAAGATTAAGTACCTAAGTAGGTTAAAAATTTTCAAAAGAAAATTCATTACTACTCATTTTTCTTACATCTTCCAATATGCTGTAAAGATGCCAACTGGAAGGCTGTAGTACAAGGAATCATTTTAAAACTAAGAGTTACACCATTGTGAAAGACAGGAGATTCTTGTACACAGCCTTAGTGTGGATTTTTTAAAGTGTATTCATCAGTATTTTTATACACCTACCCAGGGGAGGTCAAATGAAGGTCTGTTCATTATATCACAATGCCCAAATGGCATTTTAAGTATTTCTGAAAAAAGTCAAGGAAGAATAAAAACTATTTACCTGATGGCAGAATTTGGTCTCGTTCTTTTAATGTAATCCATGGCCTCGGAGGAAGCTGCTCTGGATGAACTGAAAAACATTTTGTTAACATAAATTAATTTCATGTGTTTTTAAAATCAGTTACCATTTACTCTATAATGTCAAATCAACTTGTGTTCTCTTCACCTGTAATGACCCACACACTGACTTAAAAATATACTGAAATATAATAAAAATTTAGAAGCCAAAGTATTAAGAAGAGCTATACACAAAACACATAACAAATACACAAAAAAGAATATTAGGAAACTCAATGGCATTTCCACTTACATAGTATTTATGGAAAGTAACTATTTAAAACCTGAAGCAGGTTCTTATGTCTTAATTACACATTGACTCAGCCTGAGTTCCAACATATTGATGAACTAAAATACTTAAATATCTTTAAAATAGAAAACAACACATATGAATATATAATAAATTTTTCATTTCCTAATTTAAATATCTCTCTCTCATAATGTCCATGAAAAGCAAGAGATTAAAACTAGGCTGTACAGAAAAAGAAAGGCATTGGTTAAACATTAATTGCTCAGATATGGTTATCAATACCATGGAACTAAATACTACCCAACTATCAGATGAAAGAAAATTCACTAAGTTAAGATTTAATTACCTCCTTTTTGTCTTCCTTTTAAAAACATTTTCCATTACAGAACAATTTGCTTCAAGTTATCTGCTCAGAGTATTTAGTGGCTGAGAAATGTATTCCTTTAAAACAAAACTCACCATCTTCATCCAGCCACAGAAATTTTTATGCAAGTATCCAAGACCTTAAAAAGTGTCAGTTTACTAACCATTTTTGTGTCAAAAGTCTACCTAAAGGATGCCTGTTTTAGCATCTATACTTTTCAAAAAATGAAATAAACATCACTTTGTATAATCTATATATTGCTACGAAAGGAATGAAAGTAATAAGATGACAAACCAACCATTCAGCTGGTTCAACACACTGAGTTGTAAAAAATAATCATGCCTGCTAAGAGTGCCATGCCAAAATGACAACTATCTCAAAAACGGAAAGCCCAATACACAAATACACTGAAGGGTAAACATGGTACTTTCTAGCTATAGGGATCCTTATTAGCAAATGGTTAAAAATTCATAAATCAAGAAAATTCTCAAAATAAAACAAGGTGATGTCAACATTTTGGTGCTTCCCAAATCTAAAAATAATACACTTTAACTAATAATACATCACTGTAAGTAAAATGCGTAGTAGTCACTAACATTATCAGAAAAGCCAAAAACAGGATAAGACATTCTATCTCACCAGTAACCAGAAAACAGAAAAAGATGAGATAGTATGTTTTTTTCCAGGTTAACAAAAACATTTTAATTTTACTAATATCCATGGATGGTGATGGTGACAAGAAACACATACATGTACAGCTGATTGGAATATAAAGCTATCTGGAAGGACTGAGTAAATCATCTTTGAAAATTTAAAACATCCACGTCCCTGTGACCAAAAATTCTATTTCCTGGGATCAACCCTATCTGCTTAAAGCAGTAGTCAAATAGATATTCATTACAGCATTGTTTATAATAGCAAAAACAATGGTGAATGGCAAATACCCATTTTACGAAAACTCTGTGCTAGAGTTAAAAAAAAAAAAAGAATAGATACATGTATATTAAAGTGGATATATAAAAATCTGTTGAGTACAACAAAAGGAGAAAATATATAATGCTAAAATATGATTTAATTTATTAGAAAAAGTTTTAAAAACATACTTAAGGAGTAATACTATATAATTTCTACTGGTATAATTTTTGGATGTAAAAATGTCCATAAAAATGTCTACAAGGACACACTCCCAACCTAGAAGTATGTTTATTTACATGCTAACACTGGAATTAAAGATAGTGGTCAAAGGAAATTCTAGTTTTAACAGGAATTTTAACATTTTTTTACAATGAGAATAATATATTCAAGGGTGACAGGTACTGAACATCAATTTGTTTTGTTTCTGTATTCTGAAGCCTTTGGTCTTGTTTGTATATTCCACTTTTTAGTGTGGAAAATTTCTAACATATACAAAGGTGTAAAGAGCATCATGCACTGAATCTCTAATATCCATTACCCAGCTTCAATAATTATAAATCTTGATTCATCTATACTTCCACCTATTCCATATTCCCTATTCCCTACACCTGGATTATTTGAAGCCGATCCCAGACATTTCATGTCTTCAATAAATGTTTCAGTATGTATCTCTAAAAATTACTGATGACATTATCACATCTAAAATAAATCAAGAGTGATTTCTAAATATCATCAAATCTCTGGGCAGTACTCAAACCTTCTCCACTGTCTCAATTTTTTTAAATCACTAAAATATTATATTTGTTCCTAAATCAAAAAAAGAGGAGTTTCTCCACTGTACACATCTTCTTTGAATTCTTGTTGCTACTCATATAATTTTCCTTTATATAGCTCACTGTTGTTTAATTCTAAATATATTCCAATTTCTATTCCAATTTCTTTTTAACTGAATAATTGATCTATTCCCCACTCTTTGTTTATGTTGTTGTTGCTTAACAACACACAATATTTTTTTCCTTTTTACCTTCACCCATATCTCCCCTCCGCCCACCCCCACCTCTGGCAACCACCAATCTGTTTCCTACCCATGAGCTTGTTTCCCCCCCCATATAAGATCATATGGTATTTATCTTTGTCTGATTTATTTCACATGATATAAAGCCCACAAAGTCCATCCATGTTGTTGCAAATGACAAGACTTCATTCTTTTTATGACTAATATTCCATTGCGTATATATACATCACAATTTATATATTATATATGTATAATTTTTCTATTATAAATAAATATATATAATTTGCATATATATGCTAATTTATGTATCTATGCATCCATTGACAGACACTTAGGTTGTTTCCATACCTTGTCTGTTATAAATGCAATGAACATAAAAGTACAGATATCTTTCCAAGTTCCTGTTTTAATTTTCATTGGATAAACATTCAAAGGTGGAAATTGCTGGAACATACAGTAGTTCTACCTTTTTTGAGGAACCTCCATACTTATTTCCTCAGTGGATGCACCAATATACAGTCCCACCACAATTCACAAGGGTTCCCTTTTCTGCACATTCTCAAAGCACTTGTTACTTCTTGTGGTTTTTTATAATAGCCATTTTAAAAGGTGTGAGGTAATATTTCATTGTGGTTTTGATGTTAATTTCCCTGGTGATTAATGGTGTTGAGCATCTTTTTATGTATGGCCAGCCTAAATGTCTTCTTTGGAAAAATGTCTATTCAGATCTTCTGCCATTTTTTAACTGGATTGTTTGTTTTTTTGTTATTGTATGAGTTTTCATATATTTTTTGGATGTAATCCCTTATCAGATATGATTTGCAAATATTTTCTCCCATTCAGTAGGTTACCTTTTCATTTTCTTTTTAAATATGTTTTTATTGATTTTAAAGAGAGGAAGGGAGAGGGAAAGATAGAAACATCAATGAGAGAGAGTCATTGATCGGCTGCCTCCTCAATGCCCCCTATTGAGGATCGAGCCCAAAACCCAGGCATGTGCCCAAAACCCGGGAAGCCAACAGTAATCTCTGGTTCATAGGTTGACACTCAACCACTGAGCCACGGCGTCCCGGCCCTTCTCATTTTCTTGATCTCCTTTGTTGTGCAGAAGCTTTTTAGCATGATGCAATACTTATTTTTGTTTTTGGTGTCAGATTCAAAAAATCATCAGCAAGACCTATATCAAGGAGCTAACTGCCTATGTTTTCTTCTAGTTTAATGGTTTCAGGTCTTACATTCAAATTTTTAATCCATTTAGAGTTAATTTGTGTGTATGGTTAAGATAGTGGTCAAGTTTTATTCTTTTACATGTGGCTGCACAGCTTTCCCAACAACATTTATTGAAAAGAATGTTCTTTCCCATTGTATATTCTTAGTTTCTTTGTTGTAAATTAATTGACCACATGTATGTGAATTGATTTCTGGGCTCTATTCTGTTCCATTGATCTATGTATCTGTTTTTATGCCAGTACCATACTGTTTCAATTACTACAGCTTTGTAATATAAGTTTAAAATCAGGGGGTGTGATACCTCCAGCTTTGTTCTTCTTTCTCAAGACTGCTTTAGCTACTTGGGTTTTCTTGTGTGGTTACATACAAATAATATGATTATTTGTTCTAGTTCTTTGAAAAATGCCAATGTAATTTTGATAGGGTTTGCATGGAATCTGTAAATTGCTTTAGGTAGTATGGACATTTTAACAATATTGATTCTTCCAATCCATGAATATGAAATATCTTTCCATTTACTTATGTCTTCTTCAATTTCTTTCATTAATGTCTTGAGTTTTTCAATATATAGGTCTTTCACCTCCTTGGTTAAATTTATTCCTAGGTATTTTATTCTTTTGATGCAATTGCAAATGGGATTATTTTCTTTATTGCTTTTTTTTGATACTTCATTATTGGTGTATAGAAATGCAACAGGTTTTTGTGTATTGATTTTATATCCTTCAACTTCACAAAATTCATTTATTAATTCTAACAGTTTTTTTTAAGAAGTCTTTCAGGCTTTCTAGATATAATATGTAATCTGTAAGTAGTGACAGTTTTGCTTTTTCCTTTCCAATCTGGATGCTTTTTCTTTCTTTTTCTTGCCTCACTGTTCTGGCTCAGACTTCCAATACTGTGTTGCATGGAAGTGGTGAGATTGGGTATACTTGACTTGCTGCAGCTCTTAGAAGAAATGTTTTCAGACTTTCAGCACTGAGTATAAAGCTAGCTATGGCTTGTCATTTATGACCTTTATTATATAATGAGATACATTCCCTCTATATCCACTTTAAGGGTTCTTATCATAAAATACATGTTGAATCTTGTCAAATGCTTTTCTGTATCTATTGAGATGATCATTTGATTTTTCTCTTTCATTTTGTTAATGTGGATGGTGAAACATTTTCACATGTCTGGGATAAATCCCACTTAATCATGATGTAAGATCCTTTAATATCTTGTTGAATTCCATTGGTT